CTTGAACAGAACAGAGAACAAAACCATTTAAGTGAATTTTCTCAAACAAAACTTAATGTCAATGGTATTTTAGAACCAGAAAGGTTAAGTTAGTTAGGTTCTTTGAATATGGCAAAAGCACAACAAATATCTGCCTAAGAGTTCATGCCATTGTGGAGGACCTTCCGAGGGAAACTGCTTGTATTCATATTACACATATGAGCTTGCATTTCAAGGACATGATGAACGTAAGCATTTATTAAATTCGGGGGGTTTTCAGCCTTCATCTTTTAGAGGTTCTGCTTCTCAGAAGAACTTGATTCGGCTCTTAACCTTCCAGCATGCACGCTTTGCAAATTTACATGAGCACGCGCATCATATTTTTTACGACATCCATTATTTTACAGTTTTGGGCACAAAATGACAGAAACGAGCAAATATTGATAATAAATTTGTTAAGAAATAAAATATTAATCTTATTATTGCAAAATACAAATGATATCACATGCAAATATAAGTAAATTATTTTTAAGTTCTTATGTTAGTGATATGGAAATGCAATGTATTTCATTATAGAAAATTTTTAATTTATTATTTAATAATTATATTTTAAAATCGAAGTTAATTTTAATATTCAACAAAGACAACTATAGACAATAAAAAAGGAAAACACCTTGCTAGGGAAAAAAGTAAGTTTAGCATTACTTCTGCAAGGAAATTTACTTCTTACTGGTTACAAAACCACTTGACACTAACTTTAATGTTTTTATTTATTTATAAAAAGCAGAAATAAAAGAAAATAAGGAATGGAAATCACTATTGTTCTCCCATTCAAAGGTTTCCTTGTCTTCCTTTTCATCATCAGATAATTCTTGAAGAATCTGAGCAAAATCAGCTCGTTGCACATATGTTTTTGCCATGGAAACCGATATTAAGTTTACAGAGCCAAATGTATTCAAATTAAAATAGTACACAGGAATTAATAACACAAAATTACAAAGTATTTGAAAAAAAAAATTTTCCGAATTTTAAAACATGACCATGTGCGTGTCATAACTTTTATGAAAAAGCTGCCACGTAGCACAAAAGCCCAGTTTAAAAAAAAAAAAAATCCAAATGACTTCCTGTTGGCACATTCCATGATGTGGGGAAAGGTAGAAAAGAGGAATAGAAATGACCTTCAGACATCTCAGCTTCTATACGCAAAAAATGTGCATTAAAAACTGAATTTGTTGTAAATTTTGCGCATACGCGTGTGCTGGAAGGTTAAAGACAATCTCACTGCTGACACTATTTTTAATGGAACATCAAAAGAAATTTGAAATGTTCATTATTTATCAGAACTACATAAAAAAAAGATCTCAAAAGCAACAACAGAATAAACTATTGATGTGTCATACACTTCCCAAACAGTTATCGTTTTTCACTATGTTTTAAGCAACAGACAACCATTTGAGAGATTCTGGGAATTTGTGAATCTACCTCAGCATGATGCAAAATCTGCAGCTGAATGTACTCAAGCAAAAATTGGAAAAAAGTTATAGACAAACCTGAAAATTACTCTTACAGCTATGATGGTCCAAGCATGATGCTGGTGTTTAAGCTTTTCTTCAACAGACCCACAAGAATGACTAATTTGTGCATTGCTAGGCACACTGGCTCAATTGATTATTGAGCAAGCAATCAGTCAGAATCAAGAATCACTAATGTGTAATCCTCTTCTCAAACAGTTATGGTTTTCAATATGTTTTAAGTAACGGACAACCCATTTGAGAGATTCTGGGAATTTGTGAATCTACCTGAGCATGATGCAAAATCTGCAGCTGAATGTATCCAAGCAAAAATTGGAAAAAATTGTAGACAAACCTCAAAATTGCTCTTACAGCTACAATGGTCCAAGCATGATGCTGGTGTTTAAGCTTGATGTTGGTGTTCAAGGTTTTCTTCAACGGACCCACAAGAATGAATAATTTGTGCATTGCTAGGCACACTGACTCAATTTGATTATTGAGCAAGCAACCAGTCAGAATCAAGAAATTTGAGTATTTTTTTTCAATCTGAGTAATATTGCTAACTTTTACAATAACTCTATACAGAGAATTGCTATTCTAGATGAAACTTTTAGAAAAGGATGCATGGTTCAGCTACTAGATGGAATTTTATGAGTCGAACCATCAATCCAGTGTATGAATGCACGAAAAAAATAGTCATCATCTAAACAAGCTGTAACAATAAATCAAGCAGGGGCTATCCATCATATGTTAGAAGATGCAGAATTTGTGTTCTGGTTCACAATGTTTCACAATATTATACCATATGTCTATGTCATTATACAGCCAGCTTCAAAAAACACTCAGCTGATCAATCACTCATTAGAAAGCAAGCATATATTTTCCAGCAGTCATTACAGAAAGAATGGAAGAAAACACACACAGTGACAGAGTAGCAGAGAAAACATTCATATAAATAGAACTGTAGCAGCTGAAGATATATCAAATAAAAGATTTTGTTTTATCTCTCACTGCTCTGCTGTTTCTCTCCTCAAAGCTACAAAGTTTCAGAAGTACAAGAAAAAAATTTCCAACTCAAATTCTTGATCAAACAAAACTGATGTTTATTCCGTGTTATACAGGAATCGTCAGAAAATTGAACTAGGAGTAATTCACGAAAGATCAGATTTCCGAAATACGACTGATGACATTAGTCTTTTACAATTTATTAAAGAAAAGAACTCATAGACAATACTTTCCGAGACCTGCAAACTGCTGCTAATTATCGATACTATTCCAATGACCACTGCTAAAGATGAAATATGCTTCCTAACTCTAAAAAGAGTTAAGATCTTTATAGCTTTTAAAGTTATGGCACTATGAGGGAGGACAGATTCAGTGCTCTAGCCATGCTCTCAATTGAAAAAGGCATAGTAAATGGCATATCTAAATTCAATGAAAACAATATTCATTTGTTTGCCTCAAAAAAAGACCAACCAGTAGACTTAATTTACAAAAATTGTACTTGACTATTTTGTAATCAGTGTTAAAAAATATATTGCTAGCAATATTAAAGTATCATTACATTCCACTGTAAGAAATAAAATATTACAAGTTTTTATGAGTGGGAACTTGTTTTCTTTTAGTTGCATTATCTTCCTTCAACTTGTGTAAATGCAAATATATTTTAACTTGCCAAGTTACGTCATATCTGTATGCTTAATTTTCAAATCACTTGAAAAACCACGGGACGAAATTGTGTTTCATCTATAACTTTCTATAACAAAATGGTACTGCAGGGGGAAAATCCTGTAATAAGAAGAAAGGATTAAAAATACAAAAATTGTTTCAAAGGACCAAAAATCTCCTTTCTAACCAGTTATGAGGTTTTATTTCTGGTGTCAGGAAATGAGATCTCTTGAATTTTGTGAATTCCATCTAGAGATGAAACCATAATAAAATAGCAGATTGGAACAGCTACATGCACTTCGTGCATGCCATAGCTTTAACTGCTCAGCCTATATTGAAAATCAGTGGATATGACAAGATTATAGAAGCGTGTGTGTATGAGTATGGCAAAGCCTCGAGGGCTATCTGCCTAAGAGGAGGGATGCCTTCGTGGAGGATTTTCTAAGGGAAACTGGCTCGTACACACGTTACACATGGGGAAAACCACGAAAACGCCCATGCAGCCAGCCCGTTCGCGGGATTCGAACCTCGGACCGAACTACCAGTGTTCAGCGACTTTACCGCTCGGCCGCTGGTGGGCCAAGATTATAGAAGCAGATGAAAGACTTTTCACTCGAAGAAAGAACAATGTTGGACATGTTCTTTCGCCACAATAGATTTTTTTGCGGATTGTGCCTAGAATCAAAGGAAAGTTTTTAGTCACCATTCCAAATCGATTGGCAAAAACTTAATAGGATGTTATAAAGGATAATATCACAGAAGGGAGCATTATTTATGCTGATTGCTAGAAAGTACATAAGTTGGATGAATTGTGAGATGCCCGCTTTGAAAACTTTGCTGTCAGCGTTAAATATGATTTCATAAATGCCGAAAGTGGGTGGAAAACACAAACAATAGAGCGGCTGTGAGAGTGCTAAATGGCATTATGAAGATCACTGGGGCACTCTCGATAGCACCTCAGTTCTTATTTGTTCTAGTTTATGTGCAGATGTTTACCAAAAAAAAAAATGAATAAATTTTTCTCTGCAATATTGGAAGAGATCAAAAACTTTAAGCCTGCATTTAATTTCAACTATGTTAAGCTGTTTTATTATTTTTTTAATGGATTGTACTAAAAAAAAATTATGAATTTAACCTTTTATCTAAATTAGAATAACATTTTTAAATAGTTATTAACTATTACACTTACTTCCATGTGCTACGGTTATCATAATTATTTTCAGCATCATAGGCATCAACAATAGTTTGGTGATTTTTCAGGGTTCTAATAACAGAATTGTACTGGAAAAAAAGAAATGCAAGTTTTAATCTATACCTGCTTCATTTTTATTTGAGTTTTTTCTTTTTTAATTTTTTAACCGATTGCTTTTTTTATGAAACTCATAACTGCACTGCCATTTTAGAAATGACTCTTTCCTTTAACACGCTACCTTGGTTAAAATGTCTGAATTTTGCCAAAGGGTACCTTGTTTGTTGAATATCCCAATTATAAAATACAAATTATTCCACTGATCGTTCCAAAAAATGCAATATGTATTTTTATCTAAAGGTGCACATAACCAATGCAACCACAACTCATATGCTATTCATTTCTAAATCACTGATAACTTTCCTAATACTAAAATCATTTGAATATAAAAATTTGATTTGAATATAAAATATGTGCACATACATGAATTCACCATATAAAACTACCAACTAAAATCTCTATAATTACCAATTAAAACTGCAGGAGATTCACATTTACATTATTTCTAACATGTATTTAAAATATAAAAATAAGCAAACATGTAAATATAAAAAATAAATCACATAGATTCAAATGCAGCTAAGATTGCTTACCTGCAGAACACTATTATTATCATATTCATTCCAAACTAACATGCAAAATAATGAATTACGTCTGAAGTAGAAGTACAGTGGATCTTCACACACTAAGTCATGTAGAGTGCCTTGAATAGTTACAGCAAAATCACCCAGTTTAAACTCACTAGCATGTAGTTGATTGACATTAATTGTGAGTGGATAATCAATACCAGATTCAAGAATCTTTGCTAGTTCAGCTGATTTGACAGGTAGCATTATATCTGCATCTATACATAAAAATTAATGCTATACAAACTGCAAGAACTTATCCAAAATAATTTTTAGTTAATGGAAATCAATTTTTAAGTAAATCTTGCATCACCAAAAAAAATTATTTTTCAAAAATCTTGAGCTCCAAATTATTCATTAAAATAGATTTTAAATTAGATAGGATTTTAACACTAGAAGTGCCAGTCATTTTGACTGAAAATTACATCAAACTGAAGTCATTTTGACTGAAAATTACATCACACTGAAGTCATTTTGACTGTTTTTGCCATTTTATCCCGAATCCCCAAGTCGCAGTTTCTTTAATTTTCCTAAAAAATTTTGAAAATTATTGTTACTAAACATGAATCAAATGAAATTAAAATTAATGAAGTTATTATTACTTATACCTAGAAGCACCACCGGCAGTCATATTGACTGCTAGTAAAGCTCGGTAGATTCAACTTATGATCCAGCTGAGAAATACTTTTCTTTGGAAAAAATCTCCCCTACACATGCCTTTCATTCACTGATTATTTACAACAGGAAATACTTCCATCTTTCCCACCTCCCTGTCAACGATCCACACCCTTTTTGTGAAATGTTTTAATCATTAGTTTGCAGTAGTTGAGTCAGTTCATGGCATATCCATTTTTTCAAGCACACTGTAATGGGAGCTTGAAGATTGTGATATCTTAGTACACAGATGAAACTGTAGAACTTTTACAGGCTTTCTCTGAAAATGAATCTGATGCTGAAGAGCATAGAATTGATGACGATATGTATTACGAGGCTCCACAAAAACTTGGTAAACTTAATACGAGGAAAAAATAATTCTAGTGATTCTGAAGAAAGCATGGATGATCAATCCTTGGGCCAAAGTATTCAGCCCATTGGAATTTCTGCAACAAATATTTTGTCATCAGTAATTGGGGAGTCTACATCCCCTGCAACAGGTAAGAAATATTTATGTTTATGTATTATTTTTGGGACAATTTCTGAAGTTATCAAATTTTTTACTTTGTTATCAAATTTAAATACTTTTTTTATTATTTTAGGTTCCACTATTGTAGAAGGTAGAGGATCAAACAAAAAAACATGATTCATTTAGCTCAGGATATGAACAGGGAAGAGGATATCTTTTTCAAAACCATGCAGAAGGATCTATATGTGTCTCAAAAGATGAAAAAGAAACCTTGTGGACTGTAACATCTGCTTCACACACTATAGCTGGGAAATATGGAGCCCAAAATAAGACTGGGTCCAACATTACATGCAAAAAAGAAATGGCGGGGACAAGGTGTCAATTGGATGTTGTTTGTGGATGAATCAATATTATACCACATTAAAAAGATGCACGAAGCAGAGGCAGTTTTGAACAATGAAGAAACCTGACAATATCTTAAGAAGAGCTTGATTTTGTTGCTAGTATTTATGCAACAGGAGTATATGGTTACAATGAGATTTATTAGATTTTTTGTGGAATACATGGGATACGCCTTTTTTATGAGCAACAATGTCTTGCAATCGCTTTCAAGACATTATGAAATATCTAAGGTTTAACTTGAAGTCAACTAGGATTCAGCATTTAGTATGTGATAAGTTTGCACTTTTTTCGTATACAGTACAAAGTCTTTAATCCAGACTCGTAGGGACTTCGGCGATTCCGGATTAGGCTTTTTTTCCGGATTATAGATCATCAGTTTAAATCTGGTAAGATGGCATGCAGAAATTATAAAATTAAAAATATGAAACCGTAATTTATGAAAAAAGAACAATTATGATCTAAAGGCTATCAAAATTTACAAAAAAAAAAAATGCTTAGTATTTGTTTACTTTATTAAACATTTCTTTCAATGTAAGTGCTTTAAGTTGCTTCGTTTTATGTGCTAATACTTTCTCTTTAATTCTATAAACAGACATAATTTCTTGTTCAGTTACAAAGTTCTGCTGTTCAAGTCCTGTAATTGCTGTGCCGAGAATACCGACTAACTTGTCAATCGAAATTTTTTCGTTTCCACTAAACTCTCTGTCACTTTCTTCATGCCTTTATACATTTTTTGCAGCAATTCCACTTTTTGTTTGAGGGACATCGAAACATGCTTTCGCTTTGTAGATCCTTTGGCAGCTCCAGAATTGGAAACTCTTTCTGACATAATCGAAAGTTCAAGTTTACTTTTTATAAAATTGCTCTAACAGTCTGCAAAAAATAATAAGCCAGATCCAATTAGAAGATTAAGGAACAATGCAATCTGCAACATAAACTGAAATAGATAATTAGATAATTTTAGCCTAGCTTATACCATCCGTTATACATTACATGCACATGCGTAAATGTATTATGCGAATGCATAAAGGTCATATGCACATGTGTAAACTTGAGGTCCGGATTATAGATCATTCCAGATTATGGACGTATGGATTAAACATTTTGTACTGTATTTGGAATAAATTTATACAGAACTGTGCTATTTGCTATAAGCCAGGAGTTATTGAAGAGCAGTTATTTCCATTCAAAGCCCGGTGCAAGTTTATACAGTATTTTCTGAATAAACCAGATAAATATAGTATCGAATTTTGGATGCTAGTCGATGCAAACTTACAGTTTATGCGCAATGCTTTTCCACATCTTGGAAATGATATATCGAGTAATGAAATTGAAAGTCTTCTTGAAACGTACTAATGCATCTTCTAAGGCCTCATATAAATGCAGGTAGAAATTTGACTGCAGACAATTATTTTTCTTCACTACCATTACCTAAAAGACTTCAAATGAAAAATAAAAGTTCTGTGAGCACAAGTAAGAAGACATCAAAAACAAATTCAGCATTAAGTAAGGAAATCAAAAACCTTGCTATCTGAAGAACTTTTGCTAAAGAATGGTGAAACTACACTGATGGTCTATCATGGTAAAAGGAATAAAAATGTCCGACTACTAAGTACCTTACATCCGGGGAGTGCAAAAGTAGACTCACAAAATAAGAAGAAACGTCCCCAAATGTGGGGGAGAATCGATAAATTTTAAAGTGTCTCAGTTTTTATCTGGTCACGGTAAATTTGCAAGTTATCTGTTTCGTTTTAATCTACGATCAAACAATTTATGTGAATGTTCAAAAAGAGTTCCTCAGGATGTGGAACATTTGATTTTCTCGTGCCCTACATTTGATGGCCCTAGATTACGCTTACAGAATGATTTGAAAATGTTCGGAGTGACTTGGCCAAGTGAACTTATCTGTTTTTCGTGAAGTCCACACTGCTGTTCTGTGCTTTTGTTCACTTTTTATTTATGCATGTAACTTTTAATGTTTATTTTATACATGTAACCTTTAATGTTCTAATTAACTTACTTTTGTAAGCCCCGTGTTGTACATATGTGGTGCACGGGGAGTCTGAATGTTCTCAAAGGAAAAAAAAAAAATGTGGATTTGATGTTGTTTACCAGATAATACATAAATATTCTATTCGAGCTGTTTCACGTAGATGGGCCGTGCATGTTTTCTGTAATATGCTAGATTCAGCAGGAATAATTCCTATGTTATCTACCAAAAAGTTGAGTAGTAAAAAGTATTACAAGGCACAACTTCTTATTTTAATTAGCAGAGGAATTAAGAGAGCTCCATTTGAATTGAAAAAAAAAAGCACAATACACAGGAAATTTTCAACTCTAGCAATACTCTCGAAGCAGATGACAATGCCAGACTGGACTGTGTAATAACAAGAAAATAAGCAATGTGTGTAAAAACTGTTCATATTATGCATGTGGAAAATGAACTTCCAGTGTTGAAAAATTAGCGTAAATATTGCAAAAAGATATAAAAGGTGTTTTATTACGGGCAATTGGAAATTTATAAAAGAATTTTTTTATTAAAATAATCTGTTGTTCTTTAAGAATGTTCTTAAACAGGCATAATTAAGAATAATTAAAAGTATCCTGAAGTATAAAGCATTTGCATTTGATTCACTGAGCAGTCGATCTGACTGACATTGGCACTTCCAGGTAGGGAAAAAGGTCACTGTTTCTAGTGTTAAAAGAAAAGATTATTACTAGTTTCATTTTCCCAAATACTGATTATAGATATACATTCCCTCTTAAAAATTTTAAAAGATACAGAATTTTAGGAAAATAGTATCAACGATGCAAACAGATGAACAAAGAGAAGGAATAAAGAAGAAAAAAAAACTTTTCATGTAATCTTCATATCTAATATATTTTTGGTACTTTTCCATTTTGCCGGCACAGGCCATTAAAGTCGCCAATAATGCTACAACCGATCGCCAAACGGAATATCCTCGCTCGTAACCTTTTACGCCTCATTTTCAAAACAAATCGCAGCCATTTCTTATCAGATTGATTGTTTCTTTCAATACTGTCATACAATTACATAAAATTTTAACCAGATAGTTCAAATTTATGCACTAAGGCCATTATGCCTAAAGCCATTAAGTCAATTTGGATGCAATCACTCCGATGGCGAAAATATAGAAAAGGCAAAGTCGAAGGTTAAATTCATCAATTCTAATGAGAATGCACTAGCGAAGTAAAGCACTGCGGTTTTACATAACTTCTGAGTAAGCTATTTGTACGAATTCAAATAATTCTTTCATTTAAACTTGTATTCCAAATTAAGATTTAACTTGAAGTTAATGTATATAATTACTGACAGAATAGTAGCTTAGTTTACGTGACATGAGATCACTTGGGGTTACGTGATATGAACCGGCGAATCAGGATGTTGAACCATAAAAGCATAGTAAATGCTAAAATTAATGTCCTTTTACATTATACAAAATTTTAAATGATATTAAAATGCTTATACCTTCAAAATAAAAAATTCTTGAGAACTAACATTTTTTATGTGTATACTGTATGTTGCCACCAATAAAGTTTGCTTGGCGAGATTTGCGCCAGCGAAACGGAAAAGTACCATATTTTCATGTAAAATAAACTTTTCCTGTGGTCTTCATATCATAAAAATTCTTAATAGCAAAATACTTAATGTATAATTTAAAATTCCACATA